TAAGTGGGAGAACTTGCACAATTGGTGGCTGACTAAATACTTTTTTGCCCCACTGTACCAATGGAGTATTAATGAACAAAGTAGTATTAGGTCTCTAAAATCAACAGTTTATTTTTTCATTGTCGGATGTTTTTATGAATCAGCCTTCCCAGTTCCTTCCCATTACAAGTTTGCTGCAAGTTTCATTCAGTCTTACCTTATGAGACAGGAAAAGCCTCTGTTTCCAACAATCTTTCTGGATGAGATTTAGGCCTCCACCTGAGCTACCTAATGCCAACCATTTTCGAGAAACTCCTATACATGTGCACTTAAAGAAAAAAAAGGAAAAGTTGTTATGAAAAGCCCATACACTGTTTCTGATTCATATAATTAATCATTCTTTCACTTTCAAGAAAGGGAAAACTGGCAGGGAAGATCTTTACTTAATGTTTATTTCTACTGCTTAGTATAAAACATTGTTGTTAAACTAGTGGCTCCTTGAGACTTTTTGTGTGGCTCCTTTTTCCCTCCACAGCTGACATTATTTTTTGATAACTTAACATTAAAAAACACAATAGACTGGCTAAAGTAGAAGAGCTAGGGAACAAGGATAACTAACATGAAAAATGGAAAGGGACTGAAGAAAAAGTTATCTCCCACTGGGCAGGGAGCCACTTTGGGCTTTGAGACATTTCCTTCCCCTTGCCTCTCACCAGGTGTATCCTGATACATACCACAAAACCTACATGCTGCCTTTGATCAAAAAAGAGGGTATATTTATCCTTTAAAGAAATGGTTCAATTCACAAACACCATCATATTATGTTTTAATGTTAAAGAATAATCCTTAGTGAATTTTGGATGTGAGCATGCTTCTCCACCTCCCCCCAGCAACTCAGACACTTTTGTTTTCATTTTAGATTAATAAACCAGTGTTTATGATTGTTAATCTATTGCAGACAAAAGATCCAACATGAAATAAGCTACTGCGACTTCCAAACCTTAAACAGTGATATATCTTGAACATGCACAGTTAAAACAAACGTCAGAAACAATTGTTTGAAATTGTCTTATTTCAAGAAACCATAGTTTTAATGTTTATAACACTTCTGGACCCAAAATGCACTGGGAAAAAGAAGAGCCTGTGGAGAATCTATTATCTATAGTGTAGCCAAGATTTAACTTACAATTTGAAACAGAAAATTAGTTGTAAAAAATTATAACAGATTTATAAGAATTGCTAGATTATTCTTTGCTGACAAGCCTAGCTGAAAAGTAGAAAGACGACCTTTCATTAGAGCTAACATGGACACGCACACTTTACTGATAAGGGAAATCTGTTTTGATAATTCCAAAAAAAAGTGAAACTAAAATTAAAAAATATTTTGGCTGACCATTAAATCAAATACACATAATTGAAAAATGAAATGGGAAGCAACATTTAATCTGGCTAAACTACAGAGAAGTTATATCTGAACAAAATATTACACTTTCAGTTCCTCAGGCAGTTTGCAATTAAGTTCCTCCTTCAATTCCATTATTCATTATCTTCTGTTTTTATAATTTGCTTTTTATTTTTCTTTGCCCAAAACTCCTGTTTCAGTTGCACACCCACTAGCATGGTTACATACCAACAGATCGATGATTATAAATGCTGCTTTATAATATATCATACATTACAAATATATGGACATCAAAATATGATCAAAAAAGGAGAAACTACAGAAGAGCAGTTGTAACTCAAACACACCTTCAGACGACTAGAATCCAGCCTGAGAGCAGAAAGCAGGGGACTAAGGCATTCAAGCTCTGCCAATACATAGCTGTAAGGTTCAGGTATCACTGCCATGATAACAATGGCCTCTCATAAAATGTTATTGCTTCATTTTTCTTCTCCTCCTGTAAGGACAAATCTGAAAAATGATTTCATACTGTTCAGTTAAATTTGGCTTCCTAAACATATAATTTTGATACTCAGGCTATAAAATGCCTAACATTCATAAAATGCCAGCTCTACTTTAACCTGGTTCATCTGTGCTAACCTATGTTTTGCTCCATAAACCACAATTACTGTAAGATACTGAGCTAAGCTAAAATCTATGGTTTACAAATATAATAGTTAGATTCATGCATTGCCTTAAACCAGGACATACATAATCTGGCCAGATTATGGCAAGACCAATTGTCCCTTGAACACTTATTTTCCTTGTACCACTGAGGAGTTTTATTTTATTCTTTGCATTACAGTATATCAGATTTGTTCTTGTTAACAAATTACATGGAAAGGGAGACTATTCACATAAATTCCTACCTGTGGTTTAGGATAACTACATACAAGAGATTTACACATGGGGCACCCAACAAACTATTTCTCTCCTCTTCAGTCAGTTTCCAAAGTACATTTATAGTGATTGGTTGACCTTCCGCAACTGTTCAGCTTTTTTAATAAACACTTTAGTCATAAGGTGGCTTAATAACACAACTAATATTTCTCTTGGCACTATTTTGACAATAAATAACCATGCATCCAGGGGAGCAGGGAGAAAGGATAGGAGGTGTAGACAACTTAGGAGCTACAGAGGAGTGATTTTGCTGTTGCTTCTGCTACATAATTCAATATTCAGGAACTGAATGTAGAAATTAAATCACTGACCCTCCATCTGATTCAGATAAACCAGGGTCAGGGTTGAGATAAATAGTTATAAGCCATGGTTTCAGCCTCATCCACAATCTCAGTCTTCATCATGGCTAATGTACTGTGAAAATGCATTCTATGCATTAAATATCTCTTCCATTCTGTTGTGTTGAACAAAGCTACACTTTACTACAGTGGTTTCCCTGCCTTTCTCCAAGTTAGAGTGTTCCAAAACAGAATAACATTAACTTTATAAACTTTTATCATCAGATATGAATCGAGCACAATTCACACACAAACATCAGAAACTTGTTTTGCTTTTTTACCGAAAATTATCTAATTTTTTTTTTACCTCCTTATCTAAAAGCATAGCCAGAGGCTGACTAAATAGTGGCTCTGAATATAACGACACCCCTGTAATTTAAGTACATACTCTGCCGAGTTGAGTTCATTTCCTAGGGGGCTCTTTCCCAGCACAAGCAGCCCAAGGTACTCTCAAATAGATTACAGCAGATATAAATAGATCACTTATGAATCGAAGACGGGGCTCTGCACTTCAGAACCCCCTTTCGTGCAAATCAAGAGAGCTCCGCACTATAACGAGCAACTGCAAGAAGTATAATTGGAGGAAATTAAAAGCACTGCTTAGGAGGTCGCAAATCGTCTTGTCCCCCATGGCACTCGTACGCGCAGACAGTATTTTCGCGAAAAGATTAATACACAAGAGCGATCAAATTAGTAAAAAACGGCTTCAACCACACGCATTTCCCCCCACGGCTGTCTGTGACAGTCCACAGATAACACCAAATCTGAACAGAAGAACCCTTGAGAGGAGCAGTGCGGGCTCTTAAAGGACTTACAACTACAGTACGGAAAAAACTCCTTAAGCCCAGGTCGTCGTTCTCTTTTAACTCTCCTCGCTCGAAAAAGAGCACGCACCCGTGCCACAGCTTGGGATACCCACTCAAGCACTCGCCTGCGGCAGCTTCATCCACAGAGCCAGGCGCCGCAGCAACTCCGACCTCTCTGCTCCCGCAGCCCCGCCTCTCGATAGAAGCCCCGGCGCGTGACTCCGCGAGCACCCTACCCTCTCCTCCAAACCCGCCCATCGCCGAGACGCCGCGTCACTTCGCAGCCGCCCCCTTCTCGCGCGATCCGCATCACGTGACAGCCGCACGTTTGCCCCTCCCCTTGCTGCCCCCCCTTCGAACCCTTGCTCGGGCAAGATCCCCCTCCCCCCTCAGTGAGGCGCCGGCAACCGAGAACAGATCCATCTGTTATACCGAAGAGGAGGTTTGGGAGCAAAAACAGGAAGGCACCAGTTCTGCGGGACTCGACAGTAGGCTCGTAAGGAATGAGGCGGGAGCGACCGCGTTGTTACTGTACTGTCACCCACCCCACCCCATTTTTTTTCTGGAAGGCTGTCATGGCGGCGGAGATGCGAACAGACCGTTACGTGACCAGAAAAGGGGCCTGGAGAGCGACAGGTGTTATCACGTGAGCGGGTAAGTGTCATGGCGGCGCAGCCTATCACGTGATGCGTTCTTGCTCCTGTAGTGTATGAGCTCGCTGTTTCCGGTCACGTGTTCCTTCGCCGTGCTCCTGGCCGCCCCATGGCCCCGGAGGAGGCGGCGGCAGTGGCCGCTGAGCTTTTTACAAGCTGTGAACGAAGCCGTATTGAGGTTTAGAACCATCTTTCTTTTGAAGTTAGTGGTTCTGTGTGGAGAGCAGAAAAGGAAGAACCGGTGGTGATAGCACAGCCACGGTAGCCACCCTCACGGTAGGCAGTGTGACTTGGTTCAACGGTTCCGGGTTTGGAGGCCCATCTCGCTCTCTCCTGGTAGAGATGTTGAGGTGGGGGTAGTGAAGCAGTTAGTCTTCCATCCTAGGATTACTCTTCCTCCCTGATTCCTCATCAGATTCTTGCTTTGCATGATTGGGCACTATGAACCTTACAAGCAGGTGGCAGATGCAGGCGAGTGTAGGAGGGAGCATGTTTTTCATTCATGCTGCCTTTCCCTGCTCCTAGGAAATTTTCATTATCTCACCAAATGTTTCTTTCTAAATGGAGTGCATTTTTCCTTTAAAAGGAAGTGGGGTCTTAATGAAGTAAAAGTTTCTATTCAGCATTTTCGTTTCTTTCTCTGGATTTCCTATCTTTATCTGATCCCTGAGGAAGAGGTATATGAAGTTCTGTTCTCCAGAATTGTCTCGGTAAGAGCAAGGAAAGGATTTGCTAGTAATTCTGCTAGGGTGATGTACAGGTGGGAGTGGAATTTGGGATAATGTTTTTATTTATTATTTATTTATTTATCATATTTATATAGCCGCCCATCTCACACAAGGTGACTCTGGGCAGCATACAACAATTAAAAAATAAATACATAAAATAAAAACAATTACACACAGAAAACTGTAAAAACACACAAAACAGGAGGGGATAAAATTAATAAGGGGGCCATCGTAAAATCTCCCCAGTCCCCTGGGGCCCCCAGGTCTGATCACATAGCCAGGTCTTGAGGAACTTGCGGAATGTTAAGAGGGATGGAGCTAATCTCACTTCCAGGGGGAGAAGATTCCACAAGGTGGGTGCCACAGCAGAGAAGGCCTGCCTCCGGGGACCCGCCAAATGTAATTCTCTAGCAAACGGGATCCGCAGCATGCCTTCTCTGCCAGATCTGATGGGACGGGCAGATGTAATCAAAGAGAGGCAGTCCATCAGGGTTTTTTTTAATATATCACTGATTTACTTTAGTAAATTTATCTACAAAAGTGATTTGTGACTTATTTCAGGTACGCTGACCTAAGGAAAATGTATATAGAATTAGATATTAACAGGGTTTGCACCATGGAGAAAAAATGATTGTATATAAAGAAATATCATCATGCTAAGTCCATTTATAACTGAATGCATTATATAACTATTTATTATAAACCATGGTTAACCAGTGTACTTTATGTACCAGGGTATTGACTCTTCCTCTTTGCTAGTAATGCATTCTTAATGAAAAAATAATAATTCAATCTCCGGTTTAAAAATATATATTTGGTTGCTGTATGACATGATTTTTTAGTTCAGAGCAGTTGAGGATCTCCCAAACTTGTTTTAGTATGTGAGGAATCTATATACAGTGGTACCTCTAGTTACGAACTTAATCCGTTCCGTGACTCTGGTTGCAGCTCGAGTTGG